CCGCGGGGGCCCGGCCGCCCGACTTCCTCCCCGCGGCGTACGACGGCGCCCGAAATCCAGTGCCCTGGAAGCCAGAGCTATCCCTCTCGCGTCGTTCCTGCTGTCATCTCCACGACCGCTGGGATCCCTCCCACTGTGGACGCGGCCGCTCACGCCTGCCTTCCTCCTGCGAGAAAGCGCGGGCCCTGGGCCGCGTCCAGGGAGGCAAAGGCCAATGGCACGGCGACTCCTCGCGGGACGCCCCGCTGCTGGAGCTCCCGAGCGTCCCCCGCGCAAGGAGACGTGCACTCACCGGCCAGTTGTAGTACAGGTGGCACAGCTTGAACGTGAGTCTCTGCATGTGGTCGGGCTTCAGGCCGTTGCCGTCGTAGACCACGTTGTAGTGGGTGGGACTCACGGTGCCCCGGCAGGCCGCCTGGCTGATCAGGTAGAAGTCGTACCTGAGGGGAAACAGGATGGCTGTGGGGCGGGGGGCGGGGGGCGGCGGCCGGGGCAGCCCCGAGCCCCAGGGGACGTGCTGCTGAAAGCCGATGTTCGCGCCACTTGCCATTGGGGGCGCGTCGCCTCCGAGTCCACGATGGTGCCCAGCGGCGGGTTCTGCACAGAGCGGCTGGACTCCAAGAAGAACCGGGGGACGCAGCGCTTCTTGACGACCACCACTGACAGCCTGGGGCTAAGAACAGAGGCAAAAGTGGAAAGAGGAAGGGAAGCCAATCCAAGCAGCTTTTCGTGTGTGTGTGCAGCTTTTAAAAGGAAATAAGCAAAAATCCACTAGAAAAACACTGAAAAACAGAGAAGATAAAAATTGCCCACTATCCCTAGAGAGACAATGTCAGGCACAAAAAATTAGAGATTATCCGAAAAGCAAGCAAAAGCATGCTGAACGTCAAGTCATTTGCCCTGCTTATAGCCCGTGAAGGTCGTGATAAGGAGTGGTCATCGGGACAATGAACGTCCACAGCAATTCTGCAGAAAGGTTTTCCAGAATTATCCGTGGAGACAGGATTTTTTTTTTTTTGTCATGAGCAACAGTCACCCTATTTACACCCTCACTTTTCCTCTTGACTTTATTTCCAAGTAGCCAAGGAAGAACCACGAGTTCCCCTTACTCCTCAAATCGCCCCTTCTGAATCACGCGAAGCTCACGCCAGCATGATGGACAGGTGGCCACACATACTCTGGCCAAATGCCAAACGCCCACATGCTAAAGTGCCCAGTAAAGCCAGGGCCAAATCTGAATACTTCCCATCATGGAAGCAACACCAGGGATGGAAGGACCACCGTGAGGCTGCATTTTGAGCAGTTTAGATTCGCTAGGAATGCCTTTGATACGGAAACCCTGAAAAGGCGACGGGACGATGCCAGAAAAGCAACTCCTCAGCACTGTCAGCTTACTCTTGCCACCCTCAGTCAAACCCCTGTGATCCCGACAGATGTGTTGGCCTGGGGGCAGTGGGGTGTGCGGCAGTTTGGCTCTCGCAGCTTGGACGAAGCTCCTAGGCTTTCCCTCCTCCGTAACACCAGCTGACTGAGGTCAACACCGGCTCCTTTGTGCCAGGACGCTCACAGATGGAGCTCTGTGCCTATCTGGAATAAGATGCTTTCCAAAAAATTTCAGAAGCCAATTTGGCACTGTTCTCTCTCGTTTACCATTTTTAACATGCCTCGTACTTGCCACTTGACGTGATCACTGACAAAAACTTTGTACTGACACACCAGAGCTAAAAAAGGCATCCATGGCGCAGGGAGCTTGGGGTTGAAGATGGCCGGATTTCCATCTGCAGCTCACGGTACTCCAAGCACTTTCGGAGCTTTCCACAGACCGTGAGAGCACCACAGTGCATGAGAGTCAGAGGCTTTGGTTCTGCGTGTTGACTACGGCCTCGAGTTTGAAGCCACAGCTTGTGTCTGTCCATCGATACGCAGGAGGCAGCTTCGCTGGCCAGCAGCCCTGCAGCGTCCTGCTGAATATGTCAGCTGCCCTGAATGAAACCTTCCTTTCCCTGGGCGCCCTCGCCCAGGCCCCCAGCGCCCAAATACCGGCCCGAGTACCCTCTACTTACTCTCAGGGAAATGCAGACAGCTCTACTGGTACAAGGCAGGAACAGAGCAAAACGTAATTGCACAAAAAGTAAGAATTATGCCAGCATGCCACGTGTGCTGGATGTCTGTCGTGGGGAGCGGGAGGAAAGGACAAGAACTGAGTACCTGGTCTTCGAGCCGGATTGTGTCACGCTGCTCAGCAGCTGTGGGACTTCATACTCCACAAGTGCTTTCAGCTGACCGTCCCCCACCCCGTCGCGGTACACGATGATCCGGGCGGGTAAGTCGTGATTGAGCTGGTACCACTTGTTGAGGGCTCCTGCAGGATTGGGTGTCAGTGAGGAGAGGACGGCCTGTCTGGTTCCCGCACACAACAGCACACCCACATGGCAGTAAGGCATCAACAGGCCTGCTTCTTCGGACCACCATCGGGGTAACTCCTAGTTTGGGTTCTATCTGCAGTCATATGAAAACTGGCAACTCTGGGGAGCATTCCTTCGTCCCTACTGCTTAAGGAATCATAATGGCTTCTATGGCGTAATCCATTCTTAAACCTGGCATGTCTCTTCAGTAAGACTTTAATATTAAAGCAATACATTAAAATGTAATCCCTGCGACAGACACACAGATGCCTAAAACCAAATTAGTACTGATTTGGTGTCTTCAAGTCTTTAAATCCTCTCAACAGAAATAAATTGGGTAATTTTATACCATTTTCTTTCCTAATGAGAAGAAATATGAAAACAGAAAGAAATCACTTTGTTGTTCCTCTGAAAATACTTCGCTTCACACTGACTCACCCAGCTGATTCCAATTCTCACAGAGGATGTGAGCTCTGAAAACATTTCCACCCACACTAGCTATACATTCCCTCAAGAGCAGAGCCCACACAGTAACTCCCACACCACGGGAACTTTCAAATAACTGCTATAAAAAAAAAAAAACTTCTCCTGCTGAAAAAACTGACCTGGTTTTGAAGTGAGAGGAAAACAACAGAATGCAATAATTCTCTTCATGTATGTATGTACTGAACAATTACTTTGAAGAGGAAACTCACTTTGGTTGGATAGAAGATAATCATATATATGTCTATTACCAACAAATTCACTTTTTATTAAAAAAAATGTTGCTGCTCTTCCTAGTTTACAATTGCAAGGGAACAGCAGAGCCAGACCTGGGCCAAGACGGGGGGAGGGGAGCTGGAAGCCCGGGCGTCTTTCCATCACATCCCGCTGTGAGCAGGACGCCTTCCTCACCTGCTGTCTCCCCCCGCCCACACGCCACCTCACCTGTCGTGTCCACCCTCCCCCTCAAGGCTTGGCTTCCGCATCTGGACTTAACACTGCTCTGTCCTAACTTAGCGCCTCCTGACCTTCACCCTGCTTGCCAGGGACACCGGCAACCACAAACTGTCCTTCCTCCTGGCTTCACGTTAGCCACACACAAAGGTAAGCGCTAGGTGGCCTGCCCGTCTGAGTCGGCACACTCATCAGGGGATCTTCCGTTGGACGAAAGGTGACACACACAGACGTGGGAGTTGGCTTCCACCTAGCTGGCCTGCTGTGCGCACCGGACTTGGATCTGAAGGAGCAGTCCTTGGAGCCCTCCCACACGGCGGCATATGAATTACCACTCATGAACACTTTTAAGCAATCCGCAACATCGGCTGTCGTTCTCTGGAGGATACAGCGGGAAAACCATCTAAAGCAAGCAAAGAGCAAACGCAACATTTCTACTACGAATTTGCACCAGAATTCAGAAAGACATGATGAGCAAAGGTCAGTGTCCATAACTCTGCATATGCCAAGTGTTCACAATTATACTAAAATGTTTCTCTTCCCAAAATGAGCTTATTGACTGAGAAACTAAAGCTCAGAGCTGGCAACAGACATATTTGGGTTCCAATCCAGGCCAGTATACTCGCCAGCTACGTAGGTCTGCCACGTGAACCTAAGTCTCGGTTTTCTATCCAGTACCAAGGAAGTTTCCAAGACAGAAAGGCAGCTACTACTGCATAGGGCTGCAGCAGAAATGGAATACATGCAAAATACTCAGCACAGTACTTGGCGTACATAAGACAGTGACAAACAGAGGCCACTGTCTTAGTATGACTATAAAGGAGTTTGTTAGTTTAGCAGTACATCTCCTTTGAAAGTATTCAGATTTCTCAGACAAACTTCCATTTCTACAGGTGATCCTTTCAAACTTGAAATCCTAATGAACTTATCCAGATTTCAGAAGCGGTTCTCTTACTAAAGCCATCAATTAGCTAAAAGCTCTCGGACAATGAAGATCACGACCTCGTGACAAGCATGTGCCGCAATTATCACAGTCCTCCAAATACGTGTCATGGCAGTAACACAGCCGGGCTCAGTGGCATGTGTCTGTAGTCTCAGCCACTCAGGAGGCTGAGGTGGGAGGACAGCTGGAGCCCAGGGCATCAACATGGATGAACCTCGGGGCCTTGCATTAAGCAGGATAAGCCAGCCGCGGAAAGACAAATGCTGCAGGATTACTTAGATGTGGAATCTTTAAACATCAAGCTCACAGAAATACAGTAGAGGACAGCTAGCAGGGCAAGGAGGGGAGAGTAGGGGGAGATGTTGGTGAAAGGAACAAACTTTCAGTTATAAAACAAGTAAGTTCTGGCCAGGTGTGGCTGCTCATGCCTATACTCCCTGCACAATGGGAGGCTGAGGCAGGAGGATCACCTGAGCCCAGGAGTTTGAGACCAGCCCAGGAAACACAGCCAGACTTGTCTCCATAAAAAAAATAAACAAATTAGTGGGGTGTTGGGTGTGGTGGTGTGCACCTGTAGGCCCAGCTACTCAGCAGGCTGAGGCAGCAGGATCGCCTGAGGCCAGGAGATCGAGGCTACAGAGTGAGGCTCTGACTAATAAATAAATAAGTTCTGAACACATAATCTACAGCACGCTGACTATGGTTAATAATAATAATGTACCATCATGTACTTGAAATGTGCTGTGAGAGATGATTTTAGCTATTCTCATCTCACACATAAAACACGGCAACTGTAAGGCAATGGATATATTAATTTGCTTGATTGTGGTCATTATTCCACCATGTATACATATAGGACATTCTATGCTTTAAACATATACAATTTTTATTTGCCCATTATACCGCAGAAAAGTTGGGGAAAAATTGAGACTGTTTTCCCATAAATGGTGATCATCTGAGGAAAAGCAGCCTCAGGTGGATCCCTACCCTCACCTCTTACATCAAAATGCATTCCAGACATGCAGAGACAGAAGGGAGGACTTGGGTCAGTTTTGTTAGTGAAGAAGTGACATGCAGCAGGGAGCTACCGACAGGCCCTGGAACACAGCTGCAGGCATGCAGGTGCCACAGTCGCAAATGCAGGCCTGACTACAGACTCAGGTCATGCCACTCAAGCCAGGAAGAAGACATTCTGCCAGCAGCTCCTGCAGCCTCAGAACCCACTGAAGCAATTCTCAGGACCGTAATTAATGGAATAGTGCAAGCCAATGTCTTGAGGCCTGAGCCCAATCTTGCCTCTGGCTTTAACAGCTGTGTGGACAATCACCACTTCCAACAACTGCGAGTTTTTAACAGGCCAGCAACAACAAGCATGCATTGAGCATTTGCAACGGGGGCAACACCCTAAGCACTTTATCTCACATAATTCCCAAAAATGCCTTGTGAAACAGACACCATTATTACATATCAGATTAAAACACCGAGACACACCAAAGTTAAAGGACCAGACCTTGGACACAGAATAAGTGGCAGATTAGGACACGCATTCAGGCCATCTGATTCCAAAGTTCAACTGCTTGACAGGGTGCATGTGAAGCACCTAGTATGGTGCCAGTCAAGTGCAGACACTCCAAAAATAAGTAGACATGCAAGAATTTCCTCACATCCACCATCTGGGGAAGGTGACGGGAATACAGGCAATTGCTTGCCCTAATAAGTGTATAAAAATCCATTTAATGGAGCCACACAGTACCCCAGTATTATCAATCACATTTTATACGTAAGTATAATACATGACCGCAGGGTTGGTATCTAAAACAAGTTAACAACAGAACTCTTCCTTGCTGTTACATTCTCTGGTGAAACCACAGTTAACAGTCTGTCCCACTGAAGAACACATTCAGGTGGCTTTACGGTACCTGGTGACTCCGGGGTTGACACTGGCCACAAATCCAACCACCATCACTTCCTTGCTGAGCGCGTCTTTACACACGTCGATGCCAACCACCATCAGGGACTTCAACTGTCAAATTGAATTCATCACGATGCAATGGGAGGAGGTGCCATTTCCCCAAACAAGGACTTACCACGAAGTTTCTTAAAAAGTATCCCTAGTCGCCAAGTTATACAACTTAAGCCATATGTCAAGAGACCAAGACCCAGAAGGCCAGAAGCCAGACAGACTTAAAGGCGGCAGGAGGGGTGCGGTACATCCCTGTCAACAGAGACTCACCACAGGCCCAGCCAGCCATCATCCTTTGTGGGGAGCCAAGGGGCACCAGCAGCTAGAGACACTGGGAACGTGGTCAGCCCATGTGTCCCTTGCCTGCGGTCAGGAGGCATCTGAGGAGGACTCCCACTTCCCGTCGCTCAGATTGCTAAGGATCCTTACTTGCCTGGGCAGCTTGGGGGTGAGGGTGGAGTGCAGCCGGAGGTAACCATGTGTCACCTCCGTGTTACCGCGTGTTACGTGTTCTGGTTACGGACATGTAAGGGAATGGACTGCACCCCTCATTCCTCCTTCTCCTTGCTTCCTCCCATGGTGGCCACAGCTCAGGAAAGAGAAGTGGGCACTCATTCTCAGCTTCCACCCCCGTTTGGAGGTTCAGACCACACGCTCCGGGAGGGCCCCCTCCAGGGCGCAAGGCTACCCAAAAAGCCCCTCCAAGACTGTGGGAACTCGATTCTCTCTCAGGAAATGTTCTCAGTGGCTGAACGCAGCGCCTTGAGAAGGCTACCCGCATTGCATCTCCCTCTGCATGGCAGCGGGGGCTGGTGTCACACCAGAACCCAGGGCAGGGGCTCAACGGACAAACCAAGGACGCTCCTGCTCTGGCTCACTTTTTAAAGTTCATTGGCAACGACAGGGAAAACGCGGCCGGTCCTCACCGGAATCTCCACCGCCCACAGCTCGCCTCCCAGCTTGCAGGCCACCTGCTGGGCGACCCTGGTGGCCAGGCTCATCATCATGCCCTGCTTGTGCAAGGTGCGGGCAAGCACACACTGGCTCGGGACGGGGCAGTCCCAGCTCAAGTACTTCTTGATGGAATCGTAGTAGTTCTTCTGATTGGAAGGCAGAACGCACATCACCTAGAAACAAACACAAGCAGAAGGACTGACACATCAGCTCGCATCTGTCAAGAACTCACTTTTTAGAAAAAATGAATACACAGACTGGGCAAACACATCTGTTGCCACTAAGTTCCCAAGAAGTAGGTAATACTGAAAGAGAAGATAGCTAAAGCCGGGCTCGGTGGCTCAGCCTGTAATCCCGCACCTTTGGGAGGCCGAGGTGAGTGGATTGCCTGAGCCCGCCGGTTCGAGACCCGCCTGGGCAACTTGGCGAGACCTCATCTCTACAATAAATCAAAAAATTAGCCGGGCGTAGTAGCGCATGCCTGTAGTTCCAGCTACTCGGAAGGCTGAGGCGGAAGGATCGCCAGAGCCCAGCAGCTCAAGGCTGCGGTGGCCGGAAGTGGCCACTGCACTCCAGTCTGGGCGACAATGAGACTCCAACTCAAAAAAAAAAAGAAAAAAGAAAAAGCTAGGCAGGCAGACAGGATGGTGCTCCAGGAACCACGTAGCAAACTTCCTGCAGGCCTCTCAGGCTGATACACTCGCGTTGGTAAGCGAGTGCCCTGGAAGTCTCTCAAGCTAGAGCTTAAGTACTCACTGCTGGGACTGAAAAACAACCAACCAGCTTACAGTCAAGAACTGACCAATCAACTCACCATTAGGTCTCTACCTCCTGCCGTCTGGGCCTTAGTACTGACCAATCAGAACAGCTAGTGCCAACCAATCAGCTCACAGCTAGTGCTAGCCAACCAACTCAGTCTTAGGGCTATAAAAGCACCAAGTTTCAGCTCCAAATCAGCAACCCCTTCGGGTCCCCTCCCACTGTGGGAGCTCTTCTGTCCTCTCAATAAATCCTGCTTTCTCACTTTCCGGCTATCTGTGTCCCTCATTCTTCCTGGGCACAAGGCAAGAACCTTGACCTGTAGGGTTGCAAAGATCATCAGAGCCAAAGGGCCATGTACCCCAGAGGCTGGCTTGCCAGCCGAGGGAGCTGGCTAAACCAGGAGAGCTGCTAGAAGGCGGCGAGACTCCAAAGCCAAGACACTCTGGGGGCTAGGCTTGCCAGTCCACTGAGCCAGCAACACTCTCAGGGCATGGCTTGCCAGCCCATCAGAGCCATCACTCTGGGGGCTAGGCTTACCAGCCCCTCATGACGACCCTCCTGGGGCTTGGCTGGCTGACCCATTGAGTTGACTCTCTCGAACCCAGGCTGACCGGAAAAATCCGTATCAATACTGACATGGCTACAGTCCCCTTAAATGTCCGGGAACCACTGAAGAACAGAGCCGCCAGAAATGCCTCATCAGCCACCCACTCTGCAGGGCCCCACGCCACCGCTGCCCCTTCCAGAGCTCTCCCTGGATTCCTTCTCGCTTCCCTCCTGTCTTGGTTCTCTCCGTCCCTCAAATCCCCGCTCAGAGCTCAGCCTCCACCTGCCTTCTTTGCCCTCCACAGCCTTTTTTGCGGTTTCTCTTGTCCTTCCCACTGGTCCCTCCCCCAAGTCCCCCCAAAGCCAAGTGGAGGATCTGCTTAAGCTCTGGTGCTTTTCCCATCATATACCAGACAAGGAGGAGAAAAGAAACAAGGAAAACCGCTGTGCCAGCCTGAAAGTTGAGAGTAGGGCGAGGGGGAGAGGGAAGAGAGGATGAGGCACTTCAGGCCGCTTGGGCTTTCCACTCCACTCACCTGCCGTCACCCCTCCCTCCTCCTCAGGTGCTTCCCAACAGAGGGCCTCTCCTGGTGCACCTACCCCTGCTTTCCAGCTTTCCCTCCCCCTTTCAAATGCCCACAAAGTGTGGAAAAGATCATCGCCGTGACAGGCACAAGAAAACAGGGCAACCTTTCCACCCATACAAGTGTTTACAGATGTATGATCAAGGTTACGATTACGCACACTTCGTCACATAAAACAGACATGTTTTAGAATAATCGGGACGATTCCACCAGGCGTCGACCTCCTTTCCATCCACAAGCTTGACGCCAAGCAAGCAAGGCAGTGTCCCAGCAGGGGTAACACTGAGTGGAGTTGGGAGCCAGAGAAGGGAGGGGCAAAGACACGTGGGAGGACGCAGGCATCAAGTCACAGACACATGGGCGGGGGGGCATCCATGGGGAGGACAGGGGAGCCGTGGCCCATGGTTCCTTTCCTCGCTCCGCCCCAGGGAAAGCTTGGGCAGGGACACCCCAGTCTCAAATGAGCACACCACGGGCCCAAATCTTGGTTTCTGAACACGACTCTCTACCAGAATGAATCAGAGCTTTCGGGAGAAATGTCTGATTTCAGGGCTGGAAGCAAAGTTCCAGGATGAGCCTGGGATGTCTTGGCCAGAAAGGAAGGAAGCATTCCAGGAAGCGGGGGCACGTGAAGGACACAGAAGCCAGCGTGCACGGGGCTCCCCTTCCCAGGCAGCAGGGTGAGCATTACAGTAAGAAGAGTGCCGGACCACAAGCCGGTACATAAGGCAGAATCCGCGAGTCCATACTGATTGATGAGCCACCAAGGAGGGGAAAGGAAGTTCTTCCCTGGACCCCTAACAGAGGCAGAAGGACTGTCTGACGTGAAAAGCCATCGCTTCTCAAGCATCACAGCAATGATGGATTCAGAAGAGAATCGCTGTGGATGCCAGGACAAATGGGAGGTGATACTGATGTTGTCTCAAAGTGCCTACATACTCGCACAGGTGATTAAAAAGCAACTTTACAGTGGAGGAAGCTGGCAGACAGGCCTTCAGCGGCGGAGTACCGCCTGTACGATGCCGGAAGAACTCAGGATCCCTGCTGCGACATGCCTGACAAACGCACAGAACCTGAATTCGACAAGGAGGAGACGTCAGGCAAACCAAACCCAACTGAGGGGCGCTATTCAACATGAGCGTGACTCTTCCACACTGGAGGTCAGCAAACCCAGGGAAGAATGAAGCAGCCACTCCAGGCAGGAAGAGAGACCAGGGACAGGGCGGCAGAGGGCGACCCACTGGAGCACTTTCGCGTAGAAGACGTTCCTGGGACACATGAAGAAGCTGCTCCTTGGATCAGCTGGCTATCCTGCGGCTCAGGAGGAGAGGGGCCTGGCTTACAGGAAGCTTGCGCTGAGGCTTCACGTGCCGGGGGCATCATGCCTGGAACGTGCTCTCAAATGGTCGGGGGCGCAGACAGACCGGACGTGACACAACGAATATGGTAAAACGTCAGCAATGAGGGGCTCTGGGTGAGGGTGGAGAGTGTTTCGTGCCATGCTTGCACCTTTTCTGTAAGTTTGAGTTTACTGAAGTAAAAAGTAATTGCTCCCAGGGTGAGAGTGTTGATAGCACGTCCCTTGGACTAGAAGATAATCCGGCTCCAAGAGGAGCACAGGAGCCCGGAGCTGGTTAGTTGGGTGAGTGTGCGAGAGAGGTGGCCAGGACCGGAGGCAGGCGGAGTGAGTGGGAGGACAGGAAGAGGCAATGGAGGAAGAGCCCGCAGGGGAGATGAAGGTCTGGCAGGAGAGCGGATGTTCCCAGGAAGCAGGAGTGGAGGAAACGTATCTAGGGACAGGGGCGGCAATTCTACCTTGTCTGGAACGTGGAGACGTGCTGTAACCACGCCTTGACCCCAAATGGTCTGCAGTCAGCTGCACACACACACACACACACACACACACAATGCCCACACGTGACACCAAGAACAAGGCAACTCCACGTGGTCCACGGCGTGACAGCGCAGGAGGAAAGGGTGCTCGCAAACGACGAGACACAGGAGGTGGTGGGAATACAGAGGAAGTGGGGGCTCAGAGCCAGCGGTGACTCAGATGCCTAAGTCCTCCGAGCATCCCCTGAATCACTGAGAGCACCAGACACCCAGCATTCATGCGATGTGATGGGAGCTCATGTCCTCTCAATCGACGTCAAAGAGGACCCTCAACAAGTTGGAAAATATTCAGGCGTCTTGGAAAGAGGCTGATATAGACAGAACAAGAAGTACTGTATTTTAAAGTTAGTATCAGAAATAGGAAAGGGAAATAAAACATTGAGTGAAGCACTGAGATGAACGCTTTTGTGGTACTGTGGAGAAATGCACGACAATTTGCAAACAGATCACGGTCAAGTGTGTTCAGATCCCTTACTTTAAGACTGCAGATAAAAAAGCAAAAACAGAATCATATGTGAAAACCAAGACGTGTCTTACACTCACCAGTTGAACATCAGGGTTCATAAGTTGCTGTATCGTTCTAACAAAGGCAGCTGGGCTTTCTTGTACCTTCATGCTACAAAAAAAGATTAATTTTGAAGCTATATAATTTCCGTCTTAGTAGCACAGTCATGTGGCATTAGTTGTGCAAATAAATCTTCCTAACAAACTAGTAATTTTAGAAAAAAATCATTACAGAAAAATAAAAACCTTTTGAGCCTAAAATTGTTTCTCCAAAAACATGCAATAAACATTTTTCATAGTGTAATAGTTTGGTGGAAGATGAAATCTTCTCAACTGTACATAACCCCTACAATTAATAATTGTGTTATTCAAAATGGGGTGGAAAGTGAATTTTGGAACTCATAAGTCTGATGGTCTCAAGGGTCTGAAACAGGGTTTAAGCTAAATCAGGATTAAGATTTCCCTACCACAGAATCTCTAAAGGAATTTTAAAATAAATGTTTCAGGAAACATCGGGTTAATAAGACCAAGACATTAGGCTCATCTGCATGACTGAAGCCCTTTTTTTCCTCCCTTAGAGGTGGCTTGCTTGGAGCCTGGGATATCAGCCCTTAACCAATCAGTCAGCAGATACTTACCAAGTAGTGCTCTGTGCTTACATCACACCAGGGGCCAAAGTCTTAATTCTCACACACAGAAACTTACAAATCTGGTTTTTACAAGAATTGGCCTCTTTTGTGTGGATATGACTGACTTGTGCCAACGCCCTGTGGCCTTTGAGCACTTGCCAAGGAAGGTGACAGGATCACCCGCCCAGACCTCGGGTCCAGCAGAGCTAAGCGACCAGCTGGCACCCCGTCTCCACCACTGAGCAGTTCTGACTTCCCAACTCAAACTCCTGCACACCGACTCAAGCCTTCTCTGGCACCTAGCGTGAATGAGTGCTCATCAGGGAATGACCTTGTTTTAATCCCAAACTGTCTAAAGCACTAATCGTATGCTGCAATAAGATAATTTTAAAAGTTTATCTTAGATCTATTTTTACATTAAATTTTAGAGCATAAGTCTATCAAATAAGTCAGGACATACCACTTTCATTTTTTAATATTCCTGCCTTCAGTTAAGTAAATAACTGATTTATATCGGCTGTAAATAGCTGACATAAAAGAAGGACAAAAGCTGAGAAAGCGACACACGAACTTAGTCAGGGCCTACACCCCAGCTGGTACTGAAATGATTTTGAGATAATGGTTAAGAACTGTAAAACCAAAGTTTTACAAAGACCAACATAAAACATATTTTAACCTTTTAAGAATGTAGTCATCACAAAATCTGTCTACGTATGACTACTTTCTTGGCACTTTATATTAGAAAACTTTACTGAGATAAGGAAGCTTTTGTAAATACATCAGGCACTATTTCCTACCTCCTACCAAACCAAATTAATACAGAAAACAAAAATTCAGAATATTCTTACATTTTAGGGTAGTTCACATTAAATCCCATGGTACTGCCAACTCTTCTCAAGCAGCTCAGAAAGCTCTCGGTCACATTTTCCGTTCTGTTACTACATATGAGCAACCACGTATTCAAAGACTGTGCACTTAAAATCTTGCAAGTTCGAATATCCTTGGACCAGTCAGCAGCAGACATAGGTTGACACTGAGATGGCCGTGGAGAGATGGAACAGACTCATTCAGAGGACAACCAAATAAAGGCCATGAAGATGGCCAGTTTTTCTCAAAACAGAACTGCTTAACAGTTTGCCATTCACAGTCTTAAAGCACAGATGCACGCACTGAACACCTGATACAGTCCCGGAGCTTTCCGTGAGCAAAAGCATCTGGGCATCCCCCAGGTCGGCCAGGAACCGGCTCAGAACCGTGGGTGCGTCCCTTGACCTTGTGGGTCTCTGCTGGGTACAGAGAACAGAGTCTCACTCAGAGACTGCTGAGGCTCCCTCCCAATTCTGCGATCTGCGACCTTGACGCTGAATGGCTCACGCAAGCAGGCTGTCCAGTTTGTGCTCTGTACGCTGGGCATCTAGTTACCTCAAATAGAAAATGCTGCTTAATGTCAATCTGGGTCATCCGACTGAAACCAGCAAGCCCTGCAGGGCAGCAAAGACCACACACTGTGCTAGGAACAGCTATGTCTAGAAATGGTTCCCTAAGCACCCCGGAAGGACAAGCTCCCTGCACTGAAGAGGGGGCATGGGAGCCTGGTCCCCAGCTCGCTGCTTACATCCAGAGACTGTCATCCAATGAAAATGTCTCTGGCGTTGGGAGCGGGGAGGGTCCATTGTAAGGAGATGGGCATGGTGGCTCACGCCTATAATCCCAGCACTTTGGGAGGCGGAGGTGAAAAGATTACCTGAGTCCAGGAGTTTGAGACCAGCCCGGGTAACTTGGCGAGACCTTGTCTCTACAATAAATGAAAAAATTACCCGGGTACGGTGGCCCACACCTGTAGTCCCAGCTACTTGGAAGGCTGAAGCAGAAGGATCACGTGAGGACAGCAGGTCAGGCTGCAGTGGCCGTGATCCTGCCACTGCACTTCAGCCTGAGCAACAGTCTTGAGACTCCGATTCAAAAAAAAGAAAAATTAAAAGGAACCACACTGCACAGGAGTTCCTTGCTGCTGAAGCACTGTCCTACAGGCCGCAGCATGAGCACTGCCTGGGGGCTTGCTGGAAACAGAGTCCTGCCCCCCCCACCAAGTGCGAACCTGCACGGTAATGCATTCCCAGGGGATTGGCATGTACATTGATATTCCCTGGCTATGGCTGAGGGAAGCTATGAACCAGCTGGCAGCAGTGACGAGTTTAGGATGCTGGCTTCCTGATGCTGTGGCTGGAGCACATCCCACACCAAGCACCCAGTGTGCAGCCATCGGCCCCCTTCAGCTCCAGGAGACCCCTCATCCCGAGAACACGGGAAGCACCAGCCCTCATCAGGGGATCCACCTGGGCCAAAGACTCCTCCCTGCCCACCTCAGTCAGTGAGCCTAAAGCCACCGTCTCTTGCCCACGGTGCGTCTACCAGCTGTTGTCCTATGGCAGCCGGGAGGAGACCCAGGACACCGCGCCCAGGCACACCTTGAGGCCGGTCACCTGCAGCTCACTCAGCTCTGAGGACCTAAATTCAGAAAAGCAGAACTGGCCAAAAAGTGGATGGTGCGGCGACCGCTAGCCACCTGCAGCCTCTAGGGGTGGGTTAGCCCACTTCCATGCCTTTTATTCTGTGAACACCAGTTTTCAAACCAAAGAGATTCAAAAAAGGAGAGAGATCAACCTCTGGCAATATGACCAACAGAGACCGTGAGACGGATCGTCCTAAGCACCTGAGGCCCTTCGTCACAGGGGGCACCAGGCCTTCTTCGTGCTGGCCCTGACCAAGGTCCTAACGCTGGCTACGTCTTAGAAGGGAACAAGGCTTTGCTTTGCTTTGTTTTCGAAAATTACTCTTTCGCCATCCTCTACAAGATGGGGTTTTAAGAATCTGAATAAGCCGGGCTCGGCGGCTCAGCCTGTCATCCCGCGCCTTGGGGAGGCTGAGGTGAGTGGATGGCCTGAGCCCGTGGGTTCGAGACCCACCTGGGCAACGAGACCTCACCTCTACAATAAATCAAAAAATCAGCCGGGCGTGGTAGCGCATGCCTATAATTCCGGCTACTTGGAAGGCTGAGGCGGAAGGATCGCCGGCGCCTGGCAGGCGAGGCTGCGGTGACCGGGAGCGGCCCCTGCACTCCAGTCTGGGCGACAGAGTGAGACTCCAACTCAAAAAGAAAAAAAAAAAAAAAAAAGAATCTGAATAGATTATTCACAGGAAATAACTTTTTAACATCCCCATCCTGCAATACATGTTTGTTGTTCAGTTACATCAGTGTAGACATGTCGGCTCATTTATACCAAACAAACACAAAAAGAGGGCCTCTAAAACTTTTAGAGCTAAACTTTTAAAATGGGCAAAGCAGAGTGGCAGAGTAGGAAATAGAGCATAAGTTTTGCATAAAATAGTTTCATTTCTCCAAGATAAGCCCAGAAGTGGCCATGATTGATCTCTTCAGGTTTCAGAACGCCTCTCTTACCAACTGCGAGTTGGGACTGGGTTCTGCACAAAGTTCTTCATTTCTATGCAAATTGAGCAGATTTTATTTTGAAACTTTAGCACAACTGACAGCAGCTAAAAACAGCAACTCAGGAATCAGGAAACAGAGTCTCTTAGAATTATTAACGTTCACTAGGTAATATAATCTCTGGTAGCCACAGCATCATAAAAAAATTCACAGAATGTAGAGTAGTGTAACACCCAAAACAAGGTGGGTATGTTTTAACTGCAATGGTGTGAAACACTGTCTTCCAAGTAACCTAAACCATGCCTGTTGGGTGTCCCTGAGTCTACGTGAGTAAATTCAGACAGAAAAGGCAATCAGGAGGGGAGGCCAGACACACACTGTAAGCCACCGGTCACCCCGGCAGAGGCTCGAACTCACACACATGCAAGCAGCTACGTCTCCATGAAGGCAAGGTCACCATACTCACCGTTTGGCCTTCCATTAATAGCTTTTCCGGAGGCGCCACCCGGCCGGTCAGAGACATCTGGCTTCCAAAGCGCAGTCCCCACGTCTCCAGCTCGAAGCGAGCATCCTTGTTTCTGTTGACAAGAGTTGTTTTAAATCAGTTAGTGCTTACTTTCCAAGGCATTTAATCTCTGGAGATTCAATTTACTGAATTATCCAGGGGCCGAGTTTCTGCGTCTCTGGGATTCTTGGCTTCTACTTCTGCTCCCCACTTTTTTCTCACCGCTCAAAAGAATTACAGGACAGCTGCGCCCGTCCAGGAAGTACAGGTGTGTGAAAGGCATCTAGTGGGGGCACAGCAACCAGAAAACTGAGCCCTCACGCCACACAGACCTGGGTTGAACTTCCTGCCTAACATCTAACAATGCACGACTTTAAACCATTAACCCTTTTAAAGGCTTGCTTTCCTTACTGGCAAGGCGCAGGGATAATAAACGTGTCTACTTTGCGGCACTGACGTAAGATCAAATGAGACAAGCCGTGTGAGGGGCCCACACCACACCGAGCACACTCTACGTGCTCAAAAAACGCGAGGGACGCCCGCTCCCAGTAACAAACTGGCTATCCAGGCAACATTCCGGAGCCGCTGGAGGTGGAGGTGCCTTCTGGAAACATCTGCACGTGCTGGCTGGGAGTGGATGGGGAGTGATGGGGAAGGACATGTAGGAAGCCCAGCTTTGGGAGGGCCCCAGGACAGACGGTGGGGGAGGAGAAGACTGAGGAGAACGCTGGCACGCACAGGACTAGCAGGACTGCACACGGCACTTCACAACTTTTCAAGCTTTAATCACAGCTCAGGTGTCAACTCACGGGACTGTGACACGTGAGAACGTCCACCAGGCCATAAGCTCCTGAGGCAGCAGCCCTGCGGACTCACGCAGTCCCAGCACACCAGAAGCTAGGTACTCCCAGGACACCGACAAGGTCCGCGCTTCTGCGTCCCACTTAAAGCTCCGCCTGTTCTCTGCGGGAGCTTGGGCCTCCTCCCTCCTCATCCACGTGCTAAGGTGACGTCCCGCCTGGTCACACGGAATCCCCTGAGCTATTTTGCTCCAGCTATTCTGCCCAAGGCGAGATGGGTGAGGCCGTCACAGGAAACAGGGGAGGTAGGTGGTATCGCTGCCAGGTCGATGCAGCAGGAAGATGAATCCCCACCAGGAATATGAGGAGAAAGAAGCAGGGAACTCTTCTTAAGGAGGTAAGTCTGGGGCGGCCCAGAGCAAATGACTTCACACGCATCCATGACATGGGAACTACGTAGCCACTGGCACGATTACAGAGATGCACATTCATCACTATGGACACTTGTGAGAAAAGCCTCCAGGTAAAAAAATCAAGTCGCAAAACACCACGGACAGTGCTGTGTCACTTTCCTAACAACAGCAGGATTACATGCATTTGCACCTGAAAGAATGCATGCCATCCGATCCGTGGTCACTCATTTATTAAATATTTACTGAGCACACACACACCCACTCTCTTTTCTTTTTGCTTATGTAAACTTCCCAATTGCTCCATGAGCTAGCATGACTTCCAAAAAAACCACCACTTTTTAAAGAAAGACGGTCACTCTCAACCAGTGTGGTCCAACAAAAACACACAGCAAGCCACACAGGCAGTTTTAAATTTTCTAGCAGCTGCCTTAAAAAGGGTAAAAAATCAGTGAAAATTTTTTGAAACACACATTACTTAACCCAGTGCATCAAAAAAGCAAGCACGTCAAGATGTGTCAGCAGCCACATCTCCAGCATCCAGCCACCTCGTGGGGCTGCAGGACGGACGGGACAGTGCAGTTTCAGGAGGTCGAGGGAGAGCCAGGAGGAAGCTCTGCTTTCTCACCGCAGGTCCCAGGGTAAGCCGAGGGCAGGACACAGCGGTGCAGCAGATGGGCTGAGCCCAGGGCAAGAGTGTCTCCAGTTTAGAGAACACACAGCACAGGGAGGCTTCCCAAAGTCCAGTCTGCCGAGGCCACTGCAGCAAGAACTGTGCACGCCTGCCCCGCACGTGGGGGCCTGGAGTTGCTTGGGGGTTGTCATCGCTCTTTTAGCTTAGACTCTTTTCTCCATCCGGCACCCTACCTAACCCTGCGCACCTGAAGTGGCGCCAAGGAGGGCGTCTGGGTGAAGCGGGTGCTGTGCCTGCCAGCACGGCTTCCCCCACCTCCCCTCAACCTCTGGGCTCTGGACAGCACAGTTCCACAGCTCCCTGCTCAGAATCAGTAAGGACAAGCCGTTTCCACAGGGGAAGGAACCTTGCAGAGAACGTCGATACCCCCACGGCCCTGGGCAGGGCCCACGGCCTCCCAGGCGACCCGTACCTCTGGATGTTGTCCGCAAGCCTGGCCAGGCGCTGCTGCCGGCCCAAAGGGTTGAGCCGCGTTTCTCCAGTCACAGCCCTCATCAGGTGGAAATCGGAGGCCGCCTGGTCAGTCAGCCCTGCCAAAAGCAAGTGAGAGCGGCGTGACAAAACGAATGCATGCAACACTGGGCCGCTCAGGCACGGCTGAAGCGTTTCCACATGAACTGAATCAGTTCACTGTACTCCTAGCACCGTCCAGCAGAAACGAAAGCCACATGTGCCGTTTTAAGTTTTCTAGTGGCCGTGTTAAGACAAGCCAAAAAGAAACAGGAGAAGTTACTATAAACAGAAATCATTATTTAGCCAACGACATTCAATGTGTTATCGTTTCAAAATGTAATCAACGTTAGAAACTACTTTTTCAGAGACATGGTGTAGCGTTGTACCCAGGGTGGAGTGCGATAGTGTGATCATAGTTCACTGGAACCTCAAACTCCTGGGTTCAAGCAATCCTCCCTCCTCAGCCTCCCAAGTAGCTCACACTACAGGCTACTGCCACCATGCCCAGTGAATCAACATAAAATCACATAAAATCAGCACAGAAATCACTGGTGAGGGAGCATCCCTTTTCCCCACACTACGTTCTCCAAGCCTGGTCTGTGCTTTACACTTCCAGCCCACCTCTTTTCAGTCTCTCAGTCGAGCTAGTCGCCTTTCAAGGGCAGAAACTCCAGTGGCTACTGTGGTGGGCCAGGCACGTCTACAGCGCCAGAACACCACTCAGGAGCGCCCTCCCTGCAAGGACTGCCCGTTGGCCATTTTCCATTCGCAAGACAGGTCTGTCCGTGCCAGGACCGATTCAAGCAACGCACATGTGTAAAAAGCAGAAAGTCCTTCCCATCTTGACTCACCCCACGTTAGTCAAGTGACTGTTATTAAAAGTACTCAAGACAGTTATTCAGATTCTACAGCAAAGTGAAGACTGCATCCCAAAAGTTCATCCGAAAAGAAAATAAAACACCTGGAGAAAATCAAAGACATGCCACTTCCGACATGGGTTCAATTCAAATCATGGCAAAGAGCAGCTTGGCTTTAGGAAAAGGGCGGGTGGCCTATTCTACATGGAAGCAGCGCACGGGACGTGTGAGACACAGGAAGTAGAGTCCCCAGGGCGCTCGAGTCCCCAAGCTCGTCTCCACGGGTGAACAGTTTACAGGCCCACCCTCCATGGGTTAAGACTCCTTCAGGAGGTTCTGCTGCCGCCGCCAAGTGTCGGGAGCCTGTGCCCAGGAGCCCGGTGGCGTGACAGACACGAACATCACCTGTCAGGAAGGCGAGCTCGGGCATCAGGTGAACCAGCCGTGGCTCGGCGTTGTCACTGCGCCTCCTCTTCAACAGACTGACGAGCACGGGCTGACTCAGGTCAGAGAGAGAGATGTCATACTGCTGAAAAGGGCAAGACAAATGGGCGAGTTAGAGTGGTGTGGAGGCACCACGAGACAAGCATCCTTCCTCACAGCCAACGCGCTGGCCCTAAGGTCAACGGGCAAGCCAAGCCTTCTGGGGGAGAACGAGAGAATCCCGTGGTGACCTGCTCATTCCTCCTTTCTCCCCAGGACTTCTCTCTTACATTCGAAGGCCGGTTTTATCGTTTTTTTCTTTTGAGTCGGAGTGTCACTCCGTCGCCCAGACTGGAGTGCAGTGGCCGCTCCCAGCCACCACAGCCTCGACCTGCTGGGCTCCGGCGATCCTTCCGCCTCAGCCTTCCGAGTAGCTGGAACTGTCTACAGGCACGTGCTACTGTGCCCGGCTAATTTTTTGATTTTATTGTAGAGATGAGGTCTCGCTGCCCAGGTGGGTCTCGAGCCCATGGGCTCAGGCAATCCATTCACCTCAGCCTCCCAAGGGTGCGGGATTACAGGCTGAGCCACCGAGCCCAGCTGGTTTTATTGTTTTGTCTTTTATAATGCGGTGCTATTAAAAAAAAAAAATCACGTGCCCACTCCCTCTGGGTTTCAGCCAGATGCAGAGCAGCACTGGCCGGTTCTAGCATCGTTCAACGCCCCACAGGGCTGAGTCAGGCACGTGTGGCCACTGGTGACTGAGGCAGGTCGCCCACGCCTGACTAGCTCTGAGCATCTGTGCTCACTCTGAACACAGCCACGCGCAAGCTGGAGACACAGATTCCTGAGAACACCTCGGACTTCACAGGGAGCAGGACGGCCTTAACTTCCAGGACAGAATGTCCCGGGGAGCATTTCTGAAGGCTGGAACGTGTGTGTGCGGTCCCCGGCCCTCCACTTGCTTGGACTGCGGAGGCGCCGGGCAGCCGCTTTCCCTCCCGGACGACGAGGACGACCGCCGCTCGCAGGTGTCCGCGCGGGTCTGGGGGAGGATGGATCCTCGGCAGTCGTCGGTCAGTATCCCACTCCTCCTTCCCCTCCCCCAACATTCTACCCCTGCCAAAATTTCACTCACCTTCCAGCGGCAAAGGCTTAAATGCACACTCGTTTCCAGTATAATTCACTCAACACTAGAGGCAGAACCACTGGAATTATGGTTTCCCTGGGCACCATGTGAGGCCGACCTCGGTAATTATGATTAAAGGAGCAATATGTGAGCCTGTCTCTATCTCAGGGACTTTCAGTCATTAAAATAAAACCAATCCAGCCAGGACGCAGCTCCTAAGACTCCATGTGACACACTTGGCCCCGGATCCCTGGGCTGGGGAGGGAGGGCGAGGAAGAAGGGGAGGGGGCAGTGAAACCACCAAGACTGGCGAGGGAGGGAGGCTCCCTGAAGGCAGAAGCCAAGAGAAGACCCTGAAGAAGATGTGGGCAAAGAGAGACTCAGGGAACGGGTCAGGCAGAACTGCGGCACGTTCCACGAAGAGGGCTTCTGTGTCACCAGAGCCTCTGCTTCTGCCCTGTGCTGCGTCGTAAGGTGAATCGGACCCTCTCCCTTGCCCTGGGTTTCTCTGCGCCTGGAAATATCTTGCGTGGTGAGGTAAAAGGGAGAACTCAAAGTTAACGTCGATGTCTTTCACTTTGAAAACGGACTACCTGATCGTGCAGTCTCCCTTCCTGGGGACGGAGAAGAGGACACACGAGAGGCCGACACCATTTTCTTTCTCTCCCTCCCTCATCACCAGACGTGTGTGCAGCAAACCACAGCTCATGGGGAAAAGCAAGGGGTTTTTTCTCATGACTCCCTTTCCAGGATGTCACGGGTCCTCAAACATGTCTGCTCACACAAGAGATTGGATCAGGCAGGAGAGACTCCCAAAGGCAGCGCGAGCTGCGGGCTCCATGGACCTCAGGGTGCCTTTGACACGCAGGTGCTTCGCTGGGTGCTGTGCATGGAGGAGTGACTGGGTGACAGCTCTGTCCACAGGAGACACGTTCCAGAGCTAAGGTGACGCGCACACAGGGGCTCAGAGGACAGCCAGCTCCTCTGTGCGGCAGAGGCAGGTCAGAGAGGACGTCACACGCGACCTCAAAGCCCGAACCTGGCCCAGCGTGAGGGAGGAAGGCCCAGGAGGCTGATGCAGGCGTCAGTGAAGCTGCACCAAGGCCAGGGGTGGACGCGGTGAGCGAGTGACGGCGGTCGCTTGTGACGCGGAGAGGGGGTGGCTCCCGCCAGGTGACGCTGGAGAGGAAAGGAGGGCAGAGTCTCCGCCGCTCGCCATGCTCAGTGTGCCACGCCGGCCAACGGCTGCAGGCTGATCACCTGCCCAGCCCTCTGCAGCACAGAGGAGATCCACGGTGCCCTGGGCAGATGACTCCCCAGCTTCAGGGATTCACTGAGGTTTCCTGCGGGAGCCAGAGCCGCCCTGTTCCGGCACTCACGCTCTTAGTCACATGTCTGGTGGCGCTTCAGACCCCTCTCTCTGATGGTGGGGCGGGTAATGGGGCTCAGTAAGGAGCCAGCTGGGCATCGAGGACAGACTGGGGACGGCAGGGCCTCTGCCGAGGGCCCCTCCGAGAAGCCCTGACTGGTGCAGGGGGCAGCGCTGGGGGGGAGAGAAGGCAGCGACAAAGAACCCCACAGCCACGGAGACAAAGAGGAGGGGAACGGCCGGTGGTGACAGCAGAGTGAGAGGCAAGGGCGAAGGGGAGGAAAGCAAGCGCGGCGGTTACAGCCGGGCGCAGGACTCCTGGGAGACTCGGGCGCGGGGGAGACGGCGCCCTCCGGCGGCAGGAAGCCCGTGTGGAGGCCTGCGGGACAGGTATGCAAACACGGTCTGAAAACAGAGCTGAACGGGGAGCTTGGGATCGAGGGCAAGGAGAAACACCACGTGCGACCCAGCTCACAACACCACGGAGCAATCCACGCGAGGGAGCTGTGGTGAACACGGCCCGAGACAGAACTAGAGCAACCTGGGGCAGGGGGACCCACAGGGAGGCGGCCCGCGAGTCAGGGGCGGGAGAGGCAGTTGTGTGGGGGAGGGTCACAGGTGCCGCAGAAGGCCCCCTGAGTAAGAGCAGGGAAAGCTGTTTCTACGGCAGCAGCAACCAGGCTGCCGTGCCGAGGACCCAGGAAGGGAGAGCAGGAAGGGGCTTGGAGCCAGAGTCGACCTTATAGAAGTCGGCTAAAAAGCGGTGTGCGGTCCCTGCAGGTGTGGTGTGATCAAGGAAGGGGCTGTGTGTCTCGTGTGTGTTTCTGAAAACTTCCGAGACGTTCTGGAGACCCAGATGTGACTGTTTGTGAAAGACAAGGCGCTTCTGAGAGCAACTGGGCCCGGAGGCGGGGTGGGGGCAACGGCAGTCCTTGAGCAGGCGGCTCCCAGAGGCAGGCGGAGACTCCCCCATAGTGTTTCCCGAGCAGCTACTGTGTGCACAGCATGGCACCAGCCTGGGCCTCCAAAAGTCCCCAAGGGTCTACACGGTGCCTGACACGACCTGAGGATGTTGGGGCAGAGGGGTACCTGGGAGGGGGGCCACGGGCACCCTGAGAGCCGTCGGCTGAGTTGAGCATGGAGGGGTGTGGAGTGCTCTGTGTGGACAGAAAGAGGGAGCAACCCGCATGAAATGCACGGGGGAGAAACTGAGCCATGGAATCACACAGGGCGAGGGCACAGAGCACAGGGAGAGCACAGGGAGGGCGCAGGGGAGGGCCGGCGACGAGGCTGGAGAGGCAGTGGCCACGTCAGGGGCCTCAGAAGCCGCCAAGGGGCAACACGTGCCTCCGCACGCAGTGAGGAGCCCCGGGAAAGCGGCAGCCTTGAAGTTGCGCGGCAGAGAAGGATGGTGACTCAGACCCGGGAAGGAGGAAACAGGAGGTAGGATGAGGGTCGGCAGGGGATGGGGCGGTGGGCGGGGAGGACAGGGACAGACAGAGGGTCAGGTGGGAGGCGGCTCAGCCCACAGTCGGGTCCAGCTGGGCTTCCCTGAGCTAAGAGGGAGGGGGAAGACAAGGAGAAAAGTCCCACCTGCTTGTAGTAATCCACGTAGGTGACCTCGGTGCCATCGCGCTTCTGGAAGGTGTGTGTGGGCTTCACGGACCAATCGATGTCATCAATGCGATAGGTTCTGTTATTGTATCTGGCAAATGCGAGAAGCCTTTCTCAAGAGAAATTCCCAAATCTAAGATTAGCAGCTACTTCACCACACTTTCAGTTCAAGGCATAAGACAGATTCCAGAACGTAAGAGATTACGAAAGACAGTAAAACACGATGATTCATATTTTTTTTAAATGATCAGCTCTTAACCAGGCTCGGTGGCTAGCCTGTAAACCCAGCACTTTGGGAGGCCGAGGTGAGTGGACTGCCCGAGCCCGTGGATTCGAGACCCACCTGGGCAACTTGGCGAGACCTCATCCCTACAATAAAATAAAAAAATCAGCCAGGCGTGGTAGCGTACACCTGTAATTCCGGCTACTTGGAAGGCTGAGGCGGAAGGATTGCCGGAGCCCAGCAGGTCAAGGCTGCGGTGGCTGGGAGCGGCCACTGCACTCCAGTCTGGGTGAAAGAGACTCAACTCCAAAAAAAAAAAAAACATAAAGATGATCACCTCTTATCTGAGAAAAGCATTACTTAATTCCTCAGTGTTCAGGAAGACCTCTGTCAATATTCCTGGGGAAAGTCATTAGGCCACAGCCTATTTTTTAATCCATAAACACTCTAAATCCAGGTAACTCCTCCCCAAAAGTTCAGAGGCTAAAGCCCTGCTCAAGACCCTCCCACAAGCTGCTAATACCACTCGGCATTTCCGTGCACCCAGGTAGCCTCTCTGAGAAAAAGCACCAGAAGGTCGGGCTTGGTGGCTCAGCCTATAATCCCGAGCTCTGGGAGGCCGAGGCGAGTGGATTGCCTGAGCCCGTGGGTTTGAGACCGGCCTAGGCAACTTGGTGAGATCGCGTCTCTACAATAAATCAAAAATTAGCCGGGCGTGGTAGTGCGCGCCTGTAGTTCCAGCCACTTGGAAGGCCGAGGCGGAAGGATCGCCGGAGCCCAGCAGGTCGAGGCTGCGGTGGCCAAGAGCAGCCACGGCACTCCAGTCTGGGCGACAGAGGGAGACTCCGACTCAAAAGAAAAAAGCACCCAAAGAAGGCCCCTCAGCCTGGCTTCCTGCTTCGCCTCCCACCAGGGCTGGCCCTCAGCGAAACGACACAAGTCTGGTCAGCCTGGCTCCTTCTTCACCTCCCAGCCAGGCTGGCCCTCAGCAAAGCGACACAAGTCAGCTGAGGTCATTCTAGTTCTTTCTCTCCTCTAGCACAGTGTAGCCTGGACTGTCCACTGCAGACACCCCAGCCAAGGGACAGAACTTGCCAGAGCTCTTGGTCTTTGCAAGGTGCTTTTGAATGTGACAAGGTAATCCATCGAGAGCATGATGGGAAGACATGCGGGTGGCCCTCTCGTCCCCATCACGAGGGGCTCAGTCAGTCCCACCTCGCTGCTAGCGACCCAGCAAAACAGCATTAGGTGGACATTCTAGGCCACACTAGAAGGCAAGTATGTCCCTTGAAAGAAGCATCCCCAGACTCTAGCAGTATACATGTGGTGAGCTTTTTAGCACTCGGGAAGTCATCTAATCTTCCCGTGTTTACTGCAATTCAATGCACCGTAAGGACCAGTTTTTTATACACTTAGAGATTTGTGAAGAAGCAAAACATGATCTCAGCCTGAATGGCCTCAGAGTCTCACAGAGGAGGTGAGACAGGGACCCCCCACCCTGTCCTGCAGCAATAACACAAAATTCACACCGCAATGAGGGGCTGCACGCAAGAGGGTGAGCAGAAGCGCCAGAAAGGCTGGGACAGGAGGGACAGGTTCTGCGGACAGGAGGGACGGGCTCTGCGGACGCTGAAGCTGAAGGGGCAGCGTCGGGGGTGGGAGATCCAGGCAACTGGAGTGAGTCGAACCGAACAGACCTGAGCAGCGAAGTGCAGGCTGTCGGGGGTCAGAGTCGAGGGCGGGCGGGGTGGGGTCTGCCCGTGGCCGGCCCGGGTGCCACGCGAGGACGTCGGGCCCGCAGTGGAGAACAGGTCTACGAATGGGCGCGCGAGCTGATCAGCTCAGTGGCGGCGCCAAGGCCCCCTGGCCATTCCCAGTCCCCCAGACAGTACCAACTCTGGGAAAGCTTCGTGGCGGGCAGGCCCTTACCTCGTGAGGACGACCAGCCCGACCAGCTGCTTCTCACACTCCTGGGTGAAGCAGGACGCACCGGCCTCATGGCAGAGGGCGGTCATGAACTCCAGAACCGTCTCGCTCCGGAGCAGCTTGTGGCTCACATCCGCACTCAGCAGCAGCCTGCTTTCGAAGTGGGACACGGAAACAGCAAACCCAGGCCAGAGGGACAACCTTCAGGGCAAAACACAGAAACAGCAAGCACGCGAGGCTTACGATGTCGGATCGGAGAGCGACAGAGGTTTAAACGGTGACTTTCCACCCTCATGCTCTCAATCTCATAGACGGTTTTTTCTTCAGGCCCATTTCTTTCTGCTGCTGGCTAAAAACTCGACTTTCAGCTGGAGAGTCTCTAAACATATACACACGATAAAACATGTAACTATAAAGCCAAGTGTCTCAACCGGGCCCCAAATTTTGGACTGGACAGTGAGTTCTGCGAGGCGCTGGCCTGTGCCCTGTGGGACCTCTGGCGGCGTCTCCCTGGCCCTGCCCACTAGATACCCGCAGCTGTGGACCACCAAGATGTCTCCAGACAACACCCAGTGTCCCCTGTGGGAAGAGGGGCAAAATGCCCCCGACCGAGATGACAGTTGTAGGCGTGATACGCTTACAGAGTGACCTGTCCAGCGTGAAAACACTGAGGTCCAGAAAAGCACATGACTCAAGGGTGAGAGCAGGAGTGGGTTCAACGACGAGATAAGGACAGACGGCCCAGAGAAACTGGAGCACAGGCCACACGCCTTCCCACACAGGCGGAGAAAGCCTTGAGCATGGGGTTAGGGAGTGGCATAGGAGAACACACACGTGTATTTAGAAACCACTCCAGTTTACAGCATGCAGAACCCATTCACGGTGACAGGAAGCCCACCTTCAGGACAGCATGTGCCCGGAGCATCCTAGGCAGCTTGGTCCAGCCTGCACCTGCGAGAGCATCACAGCCAAGAGCAGAGATTGGTGGCTGGGACTGACAGGATGCTTTATGGAGACCTCTCAGCACCGAGCAACACTTGGAGGGCCCGTCATTTTCCCTCCACCCAGAGGAAGGCCATGCACCACACCCGTTTTCTATCTTTTACACGCTCTCCCTGGTTGATGCATCTGTCTTTGGGCTGCCGGCTGCCTCTCTGCTTCCGCTTGACCACAATATTCTGGAGAGCTAAGCACCAACTGGTCCAGTTCACAGCTGACCACTTTTCCTGCAGCAGCGAATTCTCAGGCTAGGGTGGAAATGCTGCCAGTGTTCTCAGTGGTTCATTCACTATCCTTCGTGAGGGCAGTGTGGTTGGCTTCTCCATCTGACCCATCTACCCAACCATCCCACCTCAACCACCCAGGCTGTACTAATTTGCTTTCAACAAGAAAAGAGAACATCAACTGTGTATTACAACGTAACCCAGCTTACTGCTTTATTACTTATAAACAGAAATCTACTTCCTGAACTCCTTCTAGGATTTAAGATAACGATCTAGAGAACAGGCTGCCAGCTTCACATTCACAACTAACATTCTAACTTGGAAATTAACAAAATCCATTACGCTTCCTATCACAGGGCCTCACAGGAGGCATAATGGCAATATATTGCATCATAAATTACGGTGCTCACATTGTAACAGTTTCAGAGTAACAGAAAAATGCAAGTAAACCTACTTGTGCTGGGGAATTTCCACTGGCTCTGAAGGATTGTAGAAGTTCCGTCCGATTTGGTACATGGACAGCTTTTTTAAGACCCTGAAAGCAAATTTTTTGGAATTTCTATAAGTATCAGTCAGCAACACAGTGTAAATCTAAGTTTGCTCCCCTGCTGAACATCATGAAAAAATATGTAGACAGCATGGAACTCTCATTTCCACAGCACTGGAAGGTGTGGATACCAAACACACACGTGAGCGTATCCATATAAGCACCGCCATGTCTTCACAGTTGCCCTTCAGTTCTGCAACTGAAGTTACCCACATCTGTCTGGGCTCAGCTGTAACGACAAGTGTGTGGTCAAGCACCCATCACAACTGGGGCTGGAACATTCTGGGCAGCCTGCCCGCGGGAGGCAGGCCTTGTCCGAAGGCTCTTTGGCCTCCTCCCCAGAGAGACGAGGCAGCGGTTTCTAGCGAGGCTGCTCGGGCTCCCCAGGGGCCACCAAGCGACCAAGATGTGCCTTCGGCAACTGATCCTGGTCACTTCACCACCAGACGCCCCTCACAGAAGGCTGCCCAGTGCACGGGGAAACACGAGGAGTTCCGCGCCGGGAAACAGAGGGTTGACTCTGTGGATTGTGGCTGCCGAACACCACTGAGCCTCCGCCTCCGCCTCTTTGTCTGTAAAGAGGGGGGTTTAAAAGCTCTTGCCTCAGGGCGCCCTAGTGAGAATCAGTCTGATAAAACACAAGCCAAGAGCCTTGTCCCCAAAAAGGACCTTCCAAAGGCCAGCTGGCTCAACAGGGCGCCCTCTCGGGAGGACACAGGCAAGGCTGGCTTCTGAAGGCTGTGCAGTCCTGGCTGAGGCTCGGATGAGCCATCCGCTGAGCATCAAGAAGCGTCAAGCAAGCGGGAAGCGTCCTAAGCACCCGCTGCCCAGCACATCCCCAACCTCCGCCTCACCCTCTCGCGAGCCCGCTGCTGGGCGAGGGCTTGCCTCCAATGCCTTCAGATTGGTCACCGAAACGACCCACACTTGCTGAGGTACAGCAGTGGTTCCCAGGCTTTGGGGGTGTCTTAACAGTGTGGATTTGCCCGGCCCCGCCTGCGAGACTCTGTGCACCAGCTGGTTCAGAGAGGGGCCAGGGACCCTCATTGCATGGACCTCTGCTCCACCCCAAGATGGCTCTGGGGCAGGGGTCCTTGGGCCTGCCTGCAGAGCCCTGGCAAGCTGAATGGGGAGCAGAGAGTGGGCAGAGCCAAGGCAGAGAGTGGGTGGCAGCGGCCTTGTGTGTCCAGATCAACCAACAAGGAAAAAAAATCCTCCAGCCTCCTGAGTCAGACACAGTGGACTTCTAAGGCTGAGAGGAAGGTGTGAGGAGGGAGGAAAAGACGACCAGGAAAGGAGAGCCCTCCCTGCTACTACTGAGACAGCAACAATCCTCAAGTCTTTGCTTCAACTTGGGTAACACCGGACAGTGACGGCTGGCACCACCGAGAAGCTGCGTGGACCGCGCGGTCTGCTGTTTCTCCGGCAGACGTGTATGTGAACACGTATGTGAATACATGTGTGAAACCCCCCTGAAGATGGTCTACACAAGGGCTATACAAGGGCTACCCATCGGAAGACCGGGCTCTATGCTGGAAGGAGTCGCCAACCCTCGTCAAATGCACACTCCGGGCCTTACTTCTTGAAGATGATGTTGAGGACCTGGATGCACACGGGAGAACTCGGGGGCAGCTCCCTCGTCAGCGTGATCGTCATCTTCACGGTCTCGCCTCTTCGCGTTTCGCTGGACAGCTCTGTGACCTGGAAAGAAAGTCGCTGAATACATGCGTGACAAAGCACCCCCAAGTGCGCAGGACGGGGACGCTATGGAGCCATCGCCACGGAACACGCATTAACAAAAACAAAGCTGTGGCTGTTCGCATATGAGTCATTATCCGGTCATTGCACTGCACTTGGAGGCTGCTTTTCCTCTCTGCAGCCTGCTAATCCCGAAAAAGCTACACAACCCTCTATCCCCCAGCTTCTTAAGGCAGAATCAAAGCCAGACGCATGGTTCGAAGAGAGTTCCAGAGCCGTGGTTCTTGGTCTTTTGGAGGGGGAGGGCAGGAAAACGAGTCCCAAGCTGCTCTGAGAGTCTGATAAACGTGGCAGACGTTCTCCCAAGACAATTTCACACACACACGCAAACATCTATGTGCCTCAACGGTGTCCATGATGCACCCATTTTCAGGGGGTTCACTGATGCCCAGAAGCCTGTTAGTGGACTGCTCTGCCTACCCAAACTTCATGGATTCCAGGGGAGAGCCTCCCAAAAGTTTACTCATAATGTAGAAGAGCAGAGAAGAAGAGAGAAAGAAAGCCAAGGGCAGGGGACAGACAGGAGGAAAAGATAGGGGAAAGGGAAGGAAGCTGTGGACATTAGGATATTGTTTTTTCCTCCAGACAGAAAACTGGATGTCATAACTTTTGGAAAAGTCCAGAGAAACACAGAGCTCTGAAAACATGGAGCCCCGTCCTAGCAATATAACGGACGCATGGACAGACTGCTGTAACAACTCCCCAGCTAAATATCAAGTTCCTGGGACCAAACAGGACTTGGGCTGGGCCTCGAAATACGAGAATGCACAAATCAGTCAAGCATCGTCAGTCCATGATCTGGGACCAGGCACGGTGCCTGCAATCCCAGCACTTTGGGAGGTGGAAGCGAGAGACCGCCTGAGTCCAGGTATTCGAGATCAGCCTGGGCAACCTGGCGAGACAATAATCTCTACAATAAATCAAAAAATTAGCTGGGCATGGTGGCACATGCCTGTAGTTCCAGCTGCTTGACAGGCTGAGACAGAAGGATTGCCTGAGCCCAGCAGGTAAGGCTGCAGTGGCCTAGGCGTGCCACTGCATTTCAGCCCGGTCAACAGAGTGACACTCTGACTCATAGAAAAAAAATCAACAATCTGGGACTTTTTGTAAGGGTATGGAATGAGAAGTCAGTTCATCAACTGTCATCTCCTACAGCTACAGTGTAGCCTGAGCCACTTTTAGGCTGAATCAAGAATGTGGGGCAGGAATTGCTCACTGCATGGAAACAAAGAGAAGCTCATCTTTTCACAGGGATGAAAGATTTCATTGAGATGATTTCTGGCTTCAGATAAAGTCCTAGGGGAATCGGAGCTGGATCACTGCCCGAAGCGCTCATCAGCATGGGGGTGGGGAGTCTGGCAGGAAGGAGGGGTGCCGACTCTCAGACTACAGGAGATGCGGGACAAAGGGTTAAACAACAAGGACGTGGAGGCGAGGGGATGAGGAGCCTAGGAACCGTGCTCCACAGCCACTCAGGACGCACGCCTCTGCCCTGCCCTCCACCAAGACCTCCTCCGCCACGTCCTGCATCTGGGGCCAGACCGCACACTTTCCAGCCCCCGGCTGCCAGCCTCAGCGAGCTTTCACGCCTCCCCAACCCGTGACCTCACCAGCTGGCAAGTCTCAGCGCCTCTACCCCACAACACCTCTGATCTAGTCCGGCTGTTCCAACAGCATTATTTACCACAGTGCTAAGTGCACATGCTCTAGAATTGGGCAGTTCTGGCCCTCTGCCTCCTACAGCCCGTGTGATGGGCAGTGTCTTTCCCTATCTCTACGTGGGACTCAAGGCGCAGAGCTGTGAAAATTAAGTGAGATACTGCACTGATTTGATCCTCATCCACTGTGCAGCCACTCAGGATGTGCTTAAATAAACAACAGCGCTTCACACCTTTGTCCAAGCCCTTCTGAGACGCTGCCCAGACTACTTCGGCGGTACTCGATTCATCTCGCCACCTGAAGACCAACGTGGCTGTCACTTCACACAGCCTCCAGGAAAATGCTCTCGAAGGCTTCAGTGGCCCCACAGGACGCTTCCTGGGCCACCTGAACCGCCAAGAACTTCTAAAACGTGCCTGCCCCAACGGTCTACCTCACTGACCCGAATCCTACCCAAGAAACAATGTGTCTCGCGGCGTTTCCTGCTAGGAATGGCCTTGCCTTTCATCGAGCTCGGAATGATGGTCCAGGCAAGGGACTGAGCCTCGCTGTGGCTCCAGGGCTGATGAGGATGGAATGAGATCGTGCTGCAAGAACCCGGCAGAGGAAGTGACCGACAGATACAATCTACCGGGGTAGCAGCAGCAGTGGCAGCGGCTCACAGGACATCAAGTGCAGGTCTGCTCACCTCAAGACGACAGACACAGTGCTGGGGCCAACCAGAGAACCACCAAGCACCAGACCTGGCACCTGGCAAGGGTTCAGCAAGGTTAGCACAGGAAAAACACTAATTATCACCAGGGCACTTACTTCATCCTACCTGACGCAGTATTTATTTGTGAGTAAAAGCAAGTTGAAAGTTTTTAGAATAAAAACCCCATTTTATTCATCTTTGTTTCCTCCATGGTGGTAACACCCTGCCAGGTACACAGTAGGCGCTTCACAAATACACGCAAGTGGCTACTAGACATGAACGATGATAGACACCATGGTCATGGCTGCCGGTGCAGAGGTGAGGTGTGGACAAGAGGGGAAGGAGGAAGCTGAACAGGACTTCTCGAATTCCCAGGAGTGCAACAGACGGTTCAGGGGCTAGGAGGCAGGGGGTGGGCAGGGCTGTGGGACTCAGTCTGAGTCAGTATGAGGGTCAGAATTAAACGGTGCAAATGGCAGCATCCCCCCGAGGACACATTCCTGTTCATCAAAACTGGCAGCAGGGCCATCTTCCATTTAAACCTGGTATCCCCTCTGTCTGGGAAATAAAACCTGGCCTTACTTGTCACACCAGGTTTTCACAATCTATTTTCTTACCTACCCCTTATTAGACTCCATTCTCCAGCAACAAAAAGGTGTCTGACACACATCCCATGCTCATTTTCAGTGAGAAATAGGTAGTATCAACTTATTCCTAGTATCTGTAGAGTATAGGTACGATTGAAGTAGGTGGGACCATTCAAGGACGGTATATAATTTCAACACATCTAAGTTTCTAAACAATGACTACAAATGTATCTACATGAACAAGATGATCTTTAATAAAAACATACTTGAAATATTCTGTTTGAGTATCAGAAGCCATATAAAGCAGGTTATCAACATCTGCTCATAGGTCACACTATTGCAAAATAAATAAAAACATATGGTGAATAAAAATGGTCCTAAATGTACAGCTAATTTTCTGACTTATGGGAGAGATGAGGTCTCACCAAGCTGCCTGGGCTGGTCTCGAACCCCTGGGACCAGGCAATCCTCTCATCTCTGCCTCCTAAAGTGCTGGGATGACAGGCGTGAGCCACTGCACCCGGCAATCGGTTAATCTTTTAAATACCTATGTATAAGGACATAGGAGGGAACTTCAAAAAGTTCGTGGGAAATGTGTATTATGAAAAAACGCATGAATCTCCAAACATTTGCATCAAAACACACTTATCCTAACCTGTAATGTAACACGTCTGAACAAGAGCTAGATGGAGGCGCTAAGGAAGACGTCCGCTTAGAAAACGCCCCTGTCAGAGCAGCGTGGACTCTGCTCACACAAGAGCAAGAACTCACACAACACATACGACGAAGCCTGGGTCGAAGAACGACAGAAGCGCTGATGCTTCACCGAAGGTGTCTGGGGCCGATGCCCCCCAGAGGGCAGCAGCCAGCAAGCGGGCGCCTCACACAAGAAGGGCTGGACGACGCTGAAGGCGAAGCCCACGGCCGCAGACCAGCCACGCCGACTCACAAGGAAAACGCAGTCTCCTTGCCCCCACCAGAGAGACTACCGATTAGCAGCGGAGCGACAACTAACACCACAGATGTCTCGACGGGTTCAGCTTACACAGTTCTAACAGAAAAACCCAAGGTGAGCATACGCTCCAGTTGACGGAAGCCGAAACTGCGGTGCACAGACCAGTTGCAGACAAGAACGCAGCTTTCAGAGGAAATTGTAAACGAGTAGGATCAAGCTCCTGAAGCGTTTCTTGGAAGAACTGTAACAGGAAATGAAACCTGGCTTTACCGGCATGGTCCTGAAGACAAAGCACAACCAAAGCAATGGCTACCAAGAGATGGACGCGGTCCAGTCAGAGCAAAAGGGGACCGTCAACTGCAAAGGTTGTGGCAAGGGTTTTTGAGGTGCTCAAGGCATTTTGCTTGCTGACTTTCTGAGGACCAAAGAACAACATTACCTGCTTATCACGAGAGTATTTTGAGAAAGCCAGTCAACACTTTAGCCAAAAAAAAGCCTGAGAAGTCTTCATCAAAGAGTCCTTTCTCCACAAGGCTCCTGCTCAATCCCCTCATCGAACACAAGCAGTTTCGTAAATGTTTCGGTGGAAAGTCATGGGGCATCCTCCTTACGGGCCACTTGGCTCCTTCTGGCTTCCTTCTATTTCCTAATCTTAAAATGTCTGTACAGGGCACTCACTTTCCTTCAGTTAATAACATACAAGAAAATATTGCTTTGACATGGTTGATTCCCGAGACCCTCAGAGTTCTTTAGGGATAAGCAAAATGGATGCCATCATGACTTACAAAAACTTCTTGGCCTTGATGGAGCTTACGTTGAGGAAGAGTTTTTAAAATTTTTATCTTTTAACTCCATTTTCCACAAACTTTCTGAAGCTCCCTCATACACGCACAACTGCACGCATACAGCAAAATAATTAACTGCACTATACCTTTTCTTCTAGCTTCTGTGAGAGAAAAAGAATGGCACCGTCAAATGCTTTTGCTTTGTCGGCAAGTTCACTATGACTATACAGCAAAGCGATCCTCAGCCTTCTAGATGCTAAATCTGGAACATACGTCACGTGGTATTGGTACAGCTGCCAGTCCTGGGGCACGTCCAAAGTAAAGAGGTTTGTAACCAGTCTCACGGGCATTCCACTGGAACCTGAGGAAGACAACAGAAAACAACTTCTTGGGCCAAAGTATCACATCACACCAACATCAATCATGGCGCTTAAAACATGAACTTGCATACACACAGCAGCTGCTACAAAGCAAGGACTTTGGCTCTGTGACGCAAGATAAACTCTGAGTCCTGCAGTCGATACCACTGCTGGGAGTGGGGAGGGGGGCACCTGTGTGAAGCCAGCCTCCTAAGAACATAAGAGCCGAACCTCACCATTCCTGTCCTCGGGAGAAGAGACGCATCTGAACGTAGCTATCCCCAAGACTCCGCCCATTCTCATTCTCCGCAACTCAAATCAGCTTGAGTAATATTCAGAGGCCACTCTGAAATCACTCGGTTCTCCTATCAAAGAACCTGAATACAACCCCCAACCTCTGGGAAATCCAGGCAGTTGAAAGTTAATCACGCTTCCAAACATTCTGAGAAAGTTCAATCAGCGGCTTGACCACTGAACACGTCCCAGGGAGGACCCTCAGGGATGCAAGGGAAGGCTGGGGAGGGAGCAAAAAAGAAACAGAAAGAAGACACTCTGTGGAAACAGACAGGGCTTCTGGGCTTCTGCCTTCTGTGCCTCTGGGAACTCCAGCCCCAGAGGAAACGTGTACTCACACCTACAGGACACAGAGATGGCTGTGAGCTTCTCAGCCCGTGCTCGGGATGCTGTAAAGCTCTCCCAGGACAGAAGCCGGGAAGGCACAAGGAGGTCCTTTGCTTCTGTCTGCAGGAGGTCCTCCAGCAAAGGAGGATGCCAAGCAGGCACTAGTTTGCTTTTCACAAGGAAAAACGAGCCCCCAGGTGATGAGGAAGGAATGGCCCTCTTGGTGTTTCCGCAGCTTCAACTTGGAGTATACATCTGGCAGGAGCAAGACGTCACTGTGCTATTTTAGTGAAAGGAAACCTTCCCTTTGTTCTTTCAGATCCTGGGGAAACGGCAACGTGTTCTAGCTGCTCATATAAAAGGACCAGAGAAGTTAAGCTAGAATGTCAGAGCTGGCGAGACCCTCCAAGGTCATCGACACCCGTGTTTCCAATGGCAGCTGGCTCCATCAGTGATGCAGCGATGACTTCAAGGGAGGTGAGTCACATGTTTGACGAAAGACTACAACTCAGCAGAACTGACCGGCACGCCAGGCACGCAGGAGGGCAGGCGTTGTTCCCTGACACGTTTGCTTCAACTGTGTGTGTGTGCGCAGTGAGTGCTGGATAATAATATATCCACTTCTCATTTTGCTGCCCCGTTTAAACCAACTTTGAAAAACAATGATCTGCACCGGTGAGTTTTAACTTGTGCCGGGGGCCTTCAAAGCCTTTTGAGAATGCAGTGAAAACAACAGACCTACTTTCCAGAAAACCCATAAACCCACAATTGTGCACGTGGTTCTAGGAGTAAGCCTGCAATCTGGGTAGAGAATTCCCCAAAAAGATCAAGCCCGTCTCCTCCTCACAGCTGAAGTTTAAAAAGGTTATTACTCCTCAAACAGGAAAAGGGCTGGGAAGGGTGGGCACGCCTTTGCAACTTCCACTCCAGGTGTAAGAAGAACGCTCTTTCCAAAAGTGAGACGTAGTTTGGGGGGAAGATGTCATTATTTCTAATAAGAGAGAAAATCAAGGCTAAAAAAACCTCAGGCGTCTAACAATGCTTAAACGTACAGATGTTCAATAAATACGTCATGTGAATGTACGAACTTGTTTATTATTTATAGACCTAGACCTGGAATTTCTTAAGCAAGATTTGGCAACCTTTAACAAGTGGGTGATGTGGAGACTGGATACCTGTTTTACAGTCTCTCACGTGTGCCAGGTTCTCTCTGGTGCAGATGTCCAAATCCATGCAGCCCCGACTGACTGTCACGCCTCTCTCCTTGAAGGCACTTCCCGCATCACCAGAGGACAGACCATCTGTGCCTAAAACGGAAAGGGACTTCAGTAACAGCTCACATTTCATTCTAGTGCTAGTACTTACAACTGCGATATCAAAATGCATCTACGGTCAAAACTGGTGGTTTTTAATAAAATGCGTCCACATTGCTGAAAATGTTTAGGACTCCACAGAAGTCTTCAGCCGAAAAGCTGAATCTTGTGAAGGAAGCATGGAATGTTTTATTAGAAATGGCAGATCAATCTTCAGCAGGTCCTCACTCTTCTCACGCTGTAGACCTTCTCCTTCCTGACACAGGAGAAAGCCCCATCTTCCTGCACCTTCCGGCATGCCTCTTTACCGAGGATAGCTCTCCTTCAGTGACAATGCAACCCTGAACACTTACAGAACTACTACTGCACAGAGAGGTCAACTCTCTCACCTTTCCCAATGAAAACAGAAACTGCCCAGAACACTGCCATCAGTTTTTAACTGCATTAATTTCCTGTAAGAATGAAATCCAGTGCTTTGCCTTGCAGAGTTTCACTTACTGTTCACGTCTAGAAAATATGAAATAAAAATCTGTTGGCAAATAGGCATTTTCTGTTGACATGAGTCCAGAAAATGCTGACTTTCTGGCACCTTGAAGATAACTTGAAAGGATTAAAAATGCAGCACAGGACTGCAAAGTAATATGACCAACAGTGAGCTGAATTTCCAGGACTCTGGCTTCACCAAGTTTTTGATGTAGTCACTCTGTGCAGCCACCCCAAATGGCACTGCCACTTGCTCAAAATTTCTGTCCAGACCCTGCTTGGTGGAGGGTGAGTCTCCCAAGAAAACCACAAAATGCACTAATCTTTAAAAATTCTATGTCCCTCACTAGATTATCTGTATCATCCACTGCTCACTGCTCTTGGTTTCAAAATATTTTGGGGGGTTCCTAAAAACTCAAACTACCACACAGTGGTGACTGCCAGGGGTTGGGGAAAAAGGGCATGGGGACTTATTATTTAATGAGTACAGAGATTCGGTTTTGTAAGGCAAAAAAAATCCTAGAGATGGATGGACGGATAGTGGTAACGGGTGCACAACTATATGAATGGATGTCATATCCCCAGACTGTACGTGGAAAAGGAAAACTTCAATCTGTCCTCAAAAGTTTCCATCGCTTGCTGTTCACAAGGGCATGCAGCCGACAGGGCAAGACATCCCCAAAGCTGGACAGCGTCTGGAAGGTGGTGGTAAGGGCTGGGCATCTCAGAGCAGGGCTGCTGTGCTCACCTGCAGCACACCGGCTTCAGATCCCACGGGGACCCCAGAAAGGCTGGAAAAGTCCCACAGCCAGGAATGAGAGGGGTGCAGGGGCCAGACCAGGCTCTCTGTGCTCAGAGCCCACACGTTTACTAAAATTCAGGCAAGACACTGTGGACAGAACAAGGGAGAAAACTCAGAGGTTTCTCCCAGGTGATGGGCTGAACTATGCATGGTGGAGCCCTAGCCCCCAGTAGTTCGGGATGTGACCTCCTTTGGAGACGGTCTTTAAAGAGGTAATTAAGTAACGAGATCATTAAAGTGGTCCCTAATTCACCATAACTGCCGTCCTCAGAGGAGGAATCAGGCCGCAGACACATACAGAGGAAGCCTTGTGTGAACACAGAGAGCATACACCATCGACTCACCGGGAAGAGAGGCCCCAGGAGAAGCTGACCTGCCAACACCTTGCTTCAGACTGTCAGCATCCAGAACTGGGAGAAAAGAAATGTCAGTTGTTTAAGCCACCTCTTTCGGGCTAACACGTGGGGCCGGCCGACTCGCACGCAAGAGTGGCCCCTGGGAGCAACTGGTGACAAGGATCCCGAGGCCCATTCGGGCTCTGCAGGGAAGCCAGCTACCCTCGGACGGCCATGTTCCACAGAGCAGTGACCGCACACGTGCCAGCTCTCTCCCATTCCTGCAAGACAATGGCACTGGCACTCCTATACCCTCACGACTTTAAAGGTGTGTTTTCAAAATTCCTCAGTGAGCAGCAAGCGTGACAGAGCTAGCTTCCTAACGTTCGTGAATTCCCAGCGACCAAGCGCTGCGAGAAAGTCGAGCAGCGGGCAACGCGAGTCCCGAGAACGCGAGGCTGCCAGGAGAGGAGACTGAGAGGCACGGGGAGAGCGCCTGGGCCGTTCGCGGAGTCCTTCTGCTTCACGCGGACTGAAAGGCCACTTGGAAAACGGTGTG